GAAACAGAAAAGTGGATGGATATTAAAGCTGCTAATAGGGAAGAGAAATGGGAATGATTCTATATGGGTAGCAACTAAACTGCATCCAGGGAGGCAAAGGAAATATGAAAAATCTTTTTTTTCCTTGTGGAAGGTCATGGGAAAATAAATGGCTTGACAACCCATGCATTCATCTATTGAGCTATTCATCTAACTCAAATGGTGGAAAACTACAAAAGATTTTTTTGTTTATTCATTAACCACCAAAAATATTTTAAGAACTCATACTCAAACAGATAACCACAGATTTGTCAATATCTAGAAAACGAATCAGTGTAGGACTTAAGTTCTGATGATAAGGCCCACAGATTCCCCTTAAACTATAGTAACAACACAATTCCTGAAGGACTGACCTGATGCTGCTTGCACTGGTACCTTCTCACTGCCACTTTCTCAGGAACCCAAAGAGAAATCTGTACCAAGAAAAGCTGCACCTAGCCAGAATGATGGACCTTTCATACATAATTTCAACTGGAGCAAACTTTTGGTAATATAAAATGTATCAAAAGCTTTGGTATACGTATCTTTATGATAACTGACCCAGTCAATGGCAGCAATGTTGTTGTTGTTACCTGCAGTTAGTCAAACCTGACTGACAGTGACCCCTCCTTGGGTTTCTGAGCTGTTATCACTACAGTAGATTGCCTGACCTGCCTTCTGAGAAGTGGCTGGTGGGTTTGAACAGCCAACCTTCTGGTTAGCAGTCAAGTGCCTTAGGCACTACACTACCAAAGGCAGGAATGGTAGGTCCCGAGAATTCGGGTCAAAAACTCAGCAATACGATTCTTCAAAGTCAACTTTCTAACTTTACCATTGGAAAAAAAAATCCTATTTTAGCACCATTAAGAAAAATCAGTCTCAGGACATTACTGTCTCATCCCTCACTGATTACAAACATCAGTTATTTCCTAGAACTTGATAAACTACTTTGTCATTGAATTTGATTAAAATTATTTTAGGATTTTTTTTTTCTTTAAACTTCAACTCTACCCGTGTGGGATGATTTGCTACCTCTGTGAATATTCAAGACATGTTAAGTACTAAGCAGCAGCATTAATAAACACAAAAGCTCCTGAAATGAGTCATTTCCCTAAGATTGAGGTTTCTGAAAGATTATGTGATCAGTGGATAAAACTGGTAGAAAAATCACATTCTAAAAGGGATTCTCAGAAATTTTAGCATGTAGAGAAATAAAGATGGTAAGTAATACAACATAGTTCAGAGCTTGGGCTGTAGCTTCAGAGAAGGGCTTAATTCTGTCTTCTTGACCAAATTACTTTCTTTCAGTCTCTTCAGCTAAAAAACAGGCCAAATGAGAACAGCTAGTCCCCACTGCCATCAAGTCAATTCTGATTCATAGCGACACCCACTAGGTTTCTGAAGGAGTTTATCTTTACAGAAGTAGATTGCCCCATCTTCCTTCCACAGAGTGGTTGGTGGGTTTGAACCACCAACTTGATTTAGCAGTTAAATGCCTTAGGCACTGCACCACCAGAACTCCTTAGTAAGAACTCAATAGAAATGCAATTAATAAATTATGTCTGCACTATGCTACGCACTGTAAATATATTAATCTTCAGAGCTCCATGAGGAAGCTATTAGTCTTATTTTACAGAAGTTACATGGCTAGCAAGAGTCAAAAATCCTTGAAATTCTATCTTAAGAATAAGATTCTAAAGTTTATAGTTTCTTCTGCATAATACTATCTTAAGAAATTGTTATTTTTCTTAAATAATGGCTTTAAAAATTGTTACTAAGATTATTTGCCAAGTTTTAAAAATAAGATTCTAGCAAATGTTTATATTTTTTTGATGCCATGCATCTTCCTCCAAATCTACATTAAGAGGCTACTATAATTTAAAATAGCTTAAGTTTTATAAAACTTGAAGCAAGACAGTTTAGGAAATTACCAAACCACTTAATTAGATAGATTACAATAATTTATTCTTTTTAATTTTTGGCTAGCTTTTCTGGTAATCAGTGCCACAAAATACATATTCCAAGACTGAGGCAAATGAGGTAATGAAAGTCCTTCCACAATACATTCACATTATTGCTGCCCACAATATATAAAGGCAACCCAATTACATACATTTTAACTTTGGTATCCAACTAAATATCCTCAGAAACGAGTCACTGTTAAAGGCTATCTGGTGAAATACAAACATACTTGATCATTTCAAGTGTAGGAAAACTAAAGTATCTTTGCCTATCATTCCTAGATTAAAACAACTTCTACAAACTTGTGCAACTTATGTTCAGCCAACCTTCCTATTCAAATGTAACTGGCACATAAAAAGTGATTTTTTTCTCTCTTTATACATTATCACCATTACTGCTCAATGTGCTCTAAAAGCATCTAGAAAGCTGGAAAAAAAGGCTGCAAAGATAACAAAACATTGTGGGCCAGTATGAAGAAACATTAAGAGTTTATACCAGTATAGATTAATACATAGTCACCACAGTCAAGACATCAGATGATGTATTGCATTGGGCAAAGCTGCTCAAAAGATTTCTTTCAAGTGATGAAGAGCAAAGAGATGTATCCTTGAAGACTAAGATGCACCTAACCCAAGCCATGGTATTTTCAACTGCCTCTTATGCCATATGAGAAGTTGAGAATGAATAAGGAAGACTGGAGAAGAGTTGATGCTTTCGAGCTGTGGTGTTGGAGAAGAATGCCAAGAGTACCATGGTCTGCTAAAATGACTAACAAATCTGTACTGGAAGACATACAGCCGGAATGCTCCTTGGAAATGAGAATAGCCATACTTCGTCTCACCTACTTTGGTCATGTTGTCAGAAGGAACCACTCATTCCCTGGAGAAGGGTTCATGCTTGGTAAAGTGAAGGGTCAATGAAGAAGGGGAAGGCCCTTAACGAGATGGACAGACACAGTGGCTGCAATGATGGGTTCAGGTGTAGCAAGGATCATGAGGCTGGCACAAGACTGGGCAGTGTTTTGTTCTGCTCTGCATAGGGTCACTGAGTCGGACACGACTCAACAGGACCTAACAACAATAATAGTCACAAGCACCTAAGACATAGAAAAAAGATTGCATTTCATTACCAACAAATGTAATTCAATTGAACAGGCTGATTAAAGAGCTGAATATGGCTCTCCATTCTTCCCAGTATTCTTCTATGACATTTGTAAACACAAAAACTATCTAGTTATAGATTTGAAAATTTTAACCACCCAATGCATAAAAAATTATATATAAGCTATGAAAAATAACTTGGTGGTAATTTACAATGACTGGTAGTACAAAGTCTGTATGTAAGAACTGGTTTTGACTTAAGAAGAAAAAAAAACACAACTTCTTGAAAAGTTAAAATAGCTGAAAGCATTTAATATCTATAAACAAATCAGTATGTTAATAGTAGTCACAAAATATGCTTAATATAGAAACCCACATTTATGTCTTTAAGAAAAAGTGTAAATTGTATTTTACCTCAAAACATAAATTAACCCGCTTAAACAATCTGCAGCAGTCAAAATTATGGTAAATTTTAAACAATTTTAGAATAAAATAATATTAAGTACTTTATACTGTTTTATATCTAAAAAATGCTTACAACTTCTCATAAAAATAGTTTGAGGCAACTATTTTTTCTTTTATTCTTTAACAGATGTGTTAAGCATTATGGGCAACATTCTAAAAACCTTAAGTTTCAGACTTCCAGACATTCGAATACTGTGGTCCCCTTTTCTTTGATATGGAGGTTTATTCAAGCTAAAAAAAGAAAAGCATGGTAGACAACTTAATACATTTTCACCAAATTTAAAGTAGTACAAAAGTTTTAAGATTCTACAGAACTACACATCGTACCTAATGTATCATTAAAAATAGAAGACAGTATTTTCTTCAGCAAATAAAACAGCATACTAGTATGCTGCCAATGCATACTTTTAATGTGTACTGCCATTCGTAAATTATGTACAACTTCTACTTTATGAAGAGAACTAGAATGTAAATTTTCTGCAAAACTGGAAAAAAGGAATACAAAATCTGTGAAAGCCTGTTTTATATTGTACAAAAGTCAAGTTTTTTCCTTCAAATACTATTTTATGCAGTGATCTTTTGGACACATTACGATAATTCTTGAGGATGTTTTAATGCTGGTGGTAAGTTTACAGGCCTTGATTCTTCATCAAGGAGTACAAGATCTTCTATTTCACTGCCTCTGTATTTTCTTTTACATATTTTCACCACCACCTTTTTCTTGAGAAATAACTTCAGTGCTTCTCTTGATGCAACTGCTTTTGCATTTTCTTCACTTTTTCCACAGCCAGTGCCCAAATACACAGACTTGCACCTTAATTCACAAACAATACTTTCTTGAGAGCTCTTATTTTGAGGCAGATCTGCCAGTTCTTTTAGTGGGACAAAAAACACATCTAGTGTTGCTTTGAGAGCTTCAACAGCTGCATTTAAGAGCTCTCCATGATTCACATTGGGACTAAAACCACCAACAGCTACCAACTTCCATGCTACTGTTTTATACAGTCTATTGAAAAAGGGTTGCTTCTGTTTCACATCTTCATTGGTTAACTTGCAGAAGGAGAATCTGACAGAACTCTCACTTGACTGTGAAGTACTTTTAGAAGCCAACTGTGATGTGTTAGTCTGAGAACTACCCTTAGAAGCCAACTGGGACACACCTGCTAAGGAAGTGCTTTTGAAAACCAGAGATCCACTGGGCTGGGGGTTGCTTTTGGAAGCTAACAGTGATGCAGCTACCTGGGAAGTGCTTTTTGAAGTCAGCAGCGATGTATTTGTTGAGGAGCTACTCTTGGGAGTCAACAAGGATGTGCCTGTTGAAGAACTGTTTTTAGAAACTGATGATGAAACAACTGCTTCTGAACTAGTTTTAGAAGCTAACCCACTTGAAGCTGTCTCTGAACTAGGTTTAGAAGATAGGAGTGGCAACTCTACTTCTGAGCTTCCAGAGGAGCCCAATAAGGGCACTTGAATCTCTGAGCTGCTTTGAGAAGCTGAGACTGAAGAGCCTTCCAAAGTACTCTTTTTAGGTGAGCCACTTTGTTGTCGTGAATCAGTGGATTGGGTCACATGACTATTCACATTTGGTTTCAACAAAGAGGAAACAAATAGCGCTGAACCATGTTTATCTGAAGCCTCTAATTCAGAAACTTTTCCAGACCCAGCTGTTGTCACCTGAGAGGAAATACTACCACTGCTTTGGCTGGAACTAGGTTTATCCACATCACTTGTAGAGCTATTCTCATTCAAGGAGATGCCAGAGCTCCGAGTTGCATTCCCACTGCTCTCCAATTTGATGGATGACCCTGTACATGTTGAACTGTTTTCCTGCTTAGCTGATACGTGTTCTGTTTTGGCAGGAGTTTTTGCATAATCTTGCTCAACTGTAGAATTATTTTTTCCTTCTATGCCTCGTTTTTTGGATGGTTCTTCTACCCCTTCTAAAAAGAAGAAAAACAAATATGTGATTAAGTCTAGATCTAATACATATGAGCTAAAAACTTATATGACAGATACTTATTACAATAAAGTCACAAGGTCAAAATATTTCAGGACTAGTAATTTATTTTGGGGGACCTCTAGTGGCATAGTGCCTAAGGCATTTGACTGCTAACCAGAAAGCTGGCAGTAAAAACCCACCACCACTCCCCGGAAGGAAAGGCAATCTACTTCCATAGAGGTACTGCCTAGAAACCCAAAGAAGGGCTGCTATGAGTCTAACGGACTTCAGGGGAGTGAATATTTTTTAGTAGTTTATTTGAAAAGGTGTGTAACAATTTCATTAACCTCTAAAAATCTGAATAGTATCCTTGATTTCTAAAATTAAACGATTAACAGCAACAGACACAATTATTTGACATTTCAAAATCTAAAGCAATCAAAATCAAATTCAGAACCTAAAAACATACAGAAATGCATATTTTAGGGGTAACATTCCAATTTCATTAATAACATTACACAAATTATGACTTGTTTAAAAGAATTAGTAATAACAATAAAGCCAAATTATATCAAACGTATGTTCTAAACTCCTATGTATGTTCACATCTATGATCTGCTAACCATTGCTACTCGATATCCCTCTTTTCTTCACCTTGGCAACCAGTTCGTCTCTTGTTGTATGGATTGGAGCATCTGTCACTTTGATGCCTTCAGCCATACTAAGTATTTTATCCATAACTTTTTGAGGGTACCTGAAAAAAAGGAAAAGTTCACTTTTCTTTAAAAACGTCTTTTTATTCCCTTTTAATTCAATACTTCTGGTGTGCGAAACAGGCCACAAGAACTGCATTTCCTGATGGTAGTCAAGACAGTGTACTAACTGCCAGGAACTTTGTTTCCGGGACACTCCATAAACAAATGACCTAGGGCCTGGGAGGCATTTGTTTATGTCTGGGAGGGTTCATCTTTACCAACCTTTAAATCTACTGCCCATCCAAAAGAGGTTTGTCACCTCAACACCAACAACTTCATCAGTACCCCACATAAGGAGGGTATCTACCGACAGTCTATTAATCATGTCTGCTAAGCTGCTCGCGGAGACGCCCTTCTCACCCTTAGAGGGCAGCCGGGTCCTGTGAACTCCCGCGCTTCACAGATACTTCACCTCCCCATTGAGAACTGGTTTTCGCCAAGGGCTTGGGAGGCAGAAAGAAAAATGGGAGAGCGCTGTTTCGAGAAGCTTCCTCACTCACCGGCACCCGAGGAAGACGTGGTTTGACCAGGCCATTGAGAAGGAGATGAGCTGCTGCAGCTGCCGATTGCGGGTCGCGCTCTCGGAGTCGGCAGCTTCATCCGTGTTAGTGGAGGCAACGCCACCAGTGGGGGCCAGGTCCCCGGCGTTGCGGAGCAGAAACTCGCGGCGGTGTCGCCAGTGTTTGTCAGTTTCGCCGTCGCAACGGAGCGCCTCCACCCAGGAAGCCACCCGCGGATTCTGGCTCAGGTACTCCGACACCTCCTGCGCCATGTTGGGCCTGCAGGTTACGGAGACCGCGAGCAGACGTTGCACCGGGAAAGAGGGGGGGTAAGCAGGGCCAACCAGCCCTGTCACTGCAGCCAGCACCGGGCCCTCCAGAGAACGCCCCTCAGGAGGCCCAAACAACAACGCTCGGAGCAGCTGTACCGCCCACTTCCGCCCGCCGCCGGCTCCTTCCTTTTTATAACCTCGCTGCCGAGCGCCCGCGCGTTCTTCCGGCGCGAGCCGGCTCTCCCAGGACGCTTTGCGGTGGCCAAGCCACCGCTAGGCTGAAGCAGGGACAGATTTACGTGAGGGAGACGGGGGAGGTGGGGGGGAGGAAAGAGGCTAGGCGGCGCTTGGCGCCTTCCGCCGCGCCGGGGCGGGCCGTAAATGGGGTTCACGCGGGGCGTCCTGGACCTCGGCGGAAACCTGAGCGTTCCAGCTTCGCTTTGTGACGCAGAGCACGCTCCAGCGGTCTTCCTCCCTTGTGTGGGCCCGCTGCGGTGCCGGCCGAAGAAAAACTCGGGGCCAGGCTGGCGAAGGGAACCAGGGCTCGCCTGAGCGGAGAGGGGGTGGACAAAGTTCTTGTTTACTGAAGGGTCAGGTCCATCTTTGATAGACTTTGAGCCGCTGTATAGTTGCGAGGTCTGTGGATCGCTTTCCTAAAGACACTCTTGTCCCAAAACCAAGCTCACTGCGGTGGAGTCGCAGTGACCCCTTCTTTGGTTTCTGGGGCTTTATCACTAAGGAAGTAGATAGCCCAATCTTCCGAGGAGTGGCTGGTGGGTTTGAACCGCCAGCCTTTTGGTTATCAGTTAAATAAATGCCTTAGGCACTACGCCACTAGAGCTTACACTTGTTTTTGAGTGGGGCCAAAATAAAAGTTCGCTTCCATTGTTTGATGATGTGAGGAAACAGCTTCTCGCACAGTTTTGAATGTAGAGAAATGCAGGAGTGCATATTTACTGAAATAATAAACAATTCAGTTCAGGGATGCCTTGTTTGGTTTGGTTACCGCAGCTTCTTAGGTCACTTGCTCAATCCAGGCAATACCTGCTTACTGTCGCTTTCTTTTTTGGTTAATAGCTATTCTGCACCTGCAACATTTTGTTTCCATAGTATTTCCTTAAATTAACACTGTAACTACAGTTGGACAAATAGCCAGGAGGTGGCGTGGAAACATGACCTGTTTATTTCTAGAGCCTGGAAACCTTTCCCTCTTGTAGCAGTTTTTTCCACATTAAAATTTCCACAATTACAAGATGTACTATCAGTACCTGCTGGCTTACTGTTTCCAATTTTAGGTATATGTTATAAATTGTAATAAATGATACATAACTAATGATTAATTCTGAAATGAAATTTCCCTTTCAGTGATTTGGGACTTTGATGTAAAAATGCTTGTATCAGGATAATCACTTTAAGATACTCACTTTAGATAAGATTAATAAAGATGTAATTTTACATAAGGCTGAATTAATAAAAATCCAGCTATTATATGAAAATAACACTATATTGCCTGCTTTTCTGCCATTCTAAAACTCCACGAATACATCGGGACAGATTTTGATCACTGTTTGAGATTTTGCTTCTAGCTTTGCTATTCCTTCCAATTTTTCATTGTTCATTGCTGAAATTTTAGAGAGGTGGAAAGATTACAAGAACCTGATTATTTAGAAGATTGGGGAAATTTTGTTGTATTTCCTCTCATGAATTCTTGGCAAGGGGTGGGGGCACTCAGCAAGTAAAAATATAAAAGAGACAACACTGCCATCCAGTCGATTCCGACTCATAGCGATTCCTGTTGGGTTTCCGAGACAGCAAATCTTTTATTATTATTATTATTTTATTTTTATTGTGATTTGGGTGAAAGTTTACAGAACAAATTCATTTCCCATAGAGCAGCTCACATACATTTTGTCTCATGACATTGACTACAATTTCCCACAATGCAACAGCTTCCCTCCCACTTCTTCCCATAGTTACCTCATCCCTGTGCCCTTCCCTGCCATGCACTCCTGCTCTCTGAGCTGTCTCCCTGTGCATATACAGCCCTTCTATTCTCCCGTGATTGATCTCTCCAAGGAGTGTATCTACCTAATGTAAATGTTCAGCTCATATGCTTATCTTTTGTTTGGCTAGAAGTCACAGGACTGGGTTCAGTTCCACACCTGAAGGGCAGGTAAGTGCCACAGTCTCAGGGGTTCCACTAGGCTCTATCAAACCAACAAACCTGGTAACCCACCCTCTTTTTTTATGATTTGGAGTTTTGTTCCACATTGTTCTCCCATCCTATCCAGGATCTCCATGTAGATACCCCTTCGAGTAGTTGACAGTGGTAGCTGAGTACTATCTAGTTCTTCTGGTCTCGTAGTCACATAGACTGAGGATCACATGGTCTACCAGTCACTTAGACTGATTGTTTCCATGTGTCTTTTTTTTTCTTCATTCTTTGCTCTGGACTAGGAGAGAGCCATCATTGCATCTAGATAGCCTCTTGCGAGCTTTTAAGATCCCAGATGCTACTCACCAAAGTAGGATGTGGAACAATGTTTTTTGTGTAGTATTTTATGCAAGGCAATACATCTTTACAGAACTAGAGTGTTGCATCTTCCTTCCATGGAGGGCTGGTGCATTTGAACAGCCAACCTTCTAGTTAGCAGTCAAATGCCTTGGGCACTGTGCCATCAGAGCTCCTTATGATCATACAGCTGGGTGATATTTGTATTTTCATTATTTAATTTTGAAGAGATAATACATTCACCTATTGACTGACCCAGCAGCAGCAGCAGCAGCAGCAGCAGCAGGGATCCAGGTAAGGGGAGGGACACAGGACCCACCCCCAACAGGCAGGAAAGTGGAGGAAAGAGAAGCTGGGTGACCAGACTGACCAAGCAGCAGGGATCCAGGTAAGGGGAGGGCAGAGAGGTTTCGAACAGCTAAGAGAGACAAACTTGTCTGTCAGTTTGTCATACTTTGGTGGCTTGCATGTTGCTCTGAGGCTTGAGGCTGTGCCACTGGTGTTTCAAACAGCAGCGGGGTTGCACATAGTACACAGGTTTCAGCGTGGCTTGCAGACTGAGACAGACTAGGAAGAAGGAAGAGGCCATCCACTTCTTGAAGAATTGGCTAGGGAAAACCTTATGCATAGCAGAGAAACACTGTCTGATACATTACTACGCAACTTTATGAACAGCTGTAAACATTGTGCAGTGCAGAAGGAAGAGCTCCTTAGGTCGGAAGGCTCTCAAAATATGACTGAGAAAGAGCTGCATTATCAGAGTAGAACCAACTTTACTGATATGGATAAAGTAAAGCTTTCAAGACCTCCATTTGCTGACATGGCATGACTCAAATTGAGGGGAAACAGCTGCAAACATCAATTAATAATTGGAACATGGAATGTACAAAGTATGAATCTAGGAAAATTGGAAGTTTTCAAAAATAAAATGGAACACATACAGATGATAACCTGGGAATTACCGCTCTGAAATGGATCAGTTTTGGCCATTTTGAATCAGACAATCAGATGATCTACTATGCTGGGAATGACAATTTGAAGAAGAATGGTGTGGCATTCATCATCACAAAGGATGTTTCGAGATCTGTCCTGAAGTACAATGCTGTCAGTGATAGGATAATATCCATACACCTACAAGGAAGACCACTTAATACGACTATTATTCAAATTTATGCACCAACCACCAAAGCCAAAGGTGAGGAAATTGAAGATTTTTATGAACTTCTGTAGTCTGAAATTGATGAACGTGCAATCAAGATGTGTTAATTTTCACTGGTGACTGGAATGCAAAAGTTGGAAACAAAGAATAATCACTGGTAGTTGGAAAATTTGGCCTTGGTGGCAGAAATGACGCTGGAAATTGCGTGATAGAATTTTGCAAGTCCAATGATTTATTCATTACAAATACCTTTTTTCAACAACACAAATGGCTATACACGTGGACTTTGCCAGATGGAGTACACAGGAATCAGATTGACTACATCTGTGGCAAGAGGTGATGGGGAAGTTCAATATCTTCAACCGAAACCAGGCCAGGAGCTGATTGTGGAACAGACCATCAACTGCTCATAAGCAAGTTCAAGTCAAAGCTGAAGACAATTAAAACAAGTCCACGAGAGCCAAAATATGACCTTGGATATATCCCTCCTGAATTTATAGACCATCTAAAGAATAGAACACCAATGACCGAAAACCAGAAGAATTGTGGGATGATGTTAAGAACATCATCCATGAAGAAAGCAAGAGATCATTAAAAAGACAAGAAAAGAAGGAAAGATCAAAATGGTTGTCAGAAAAGATTCTTGACTTACCCTTGAGCAGAGAATAGCTAAAGCAAATAGAAGAAATGACAAGATAAAAGAGCTAAACCGAAGATTTCAAAGAGCAGCTCAAGCAGACAAAGCCAATTACTATAATGAAATGTGCAAAGACCTGGAATCTGAAAACTAAAAAGGAAGAACATGCTCAGCATTTCTCAAGCTGAAAGAACTGAGGAAAAAATTTAAACCTTGGGTTGCAATATTGAAAGATTCTTTGGGCAAAATATTGAATGATGCAGGAAACATCAAAAGAAGATGGAAGGAATACACAGAGTCACTGCACCAAAAAGAACTGGTTGATCTTTATCCATTTCAGGAGGTGGTGTATGATCAAGAACCAATGGTACCGAAGGAAGACGTCGAAGCTGTACTGAAGGAATTAACGAAGAACAAGGCTCCAGGAATTGACAAAATACCCACTGAGCTGTTTAATTCACTGGAGGCACTCACTTTGTTATGCCAAGAGATTTGGAAGATAGCTACCTGGCCAACTGACTGGAAGAGATCCGTATTTGTACCCATTCCAAAGAAAGGTAATCCCACAGAATGTGGAAATTATCGAGCAATATTAATATCGCATGCAAGTAAAATCTTATTGAAGCTGGTTCAAAAATGGTTGCAGCAGTATATTGACAGAGAACTTTCAGAGACATAAGCTGGACTCAGAAGAAGTTGTGGAAGAAGGGATATCATTGCTGATGTCTGATGAATCTTGGCTCAAACCAAAGAATACCAGAAAGATATTTACTTGTGTTTTATGGACTATGCAAAAGCATTTGATTGTGTGGATCATAACAAATTGTGGATAACATTGAGAAGAATGGGA